GAGGTGCAGGTGATTGGACACAGGTGGAAACAATCAGACAATCACCGACGATGACAGGACAAGGCAGGAAGTGAAGTTACCCAAGAAGCAGAGACAAGAAGCAGAAAACTACAAAATAAGACAGGAAATAAAACCACACCGTGACATTACATATATTAGTGGTGTAAAATGCTGGATAAGTTCACAAAAGTTAAGTCAACGTTCATTGAAGCCCTAAATCTATGACAACAGAAAACCACCTTTATTTTTATGCAACTTCAATACAATGAATAGAACGGACAGTTTTCAGTGTGTGCATCGGCCGTAGTATGAAGGAAGTCAGTCCACGATTATCATTATCCTTCTATGGCTGCTACTGCTATGGAGCCTGCTGGCTGGGCAGCGAGGGAGCAAATTATACTGTACATTACATTACATTACATGTCATTTAGCTGACACTTTTATCCAAAGCGACTTACAATAAGTGCATTCAACCATAGGGTACAAACTCAGAAGAACAAGAAACAAGAAAGTGCAATTTCCTCAAATAAGCCAATTTACAGTTTGCTATAGATGAGTGACGTTATAAGTACAGTGTAAGTGCTACAGTTAGTGTTTTAGTGGAGGTAGAGTCTGAAGAGGTGTGTCTTTAGTTTGCGGCGAAAGATGTGAAGGCTCTCTGTGGTCCTGATGTCTTCAGAGAGCTCGTTCCACCATTTAGGAGCAGGACAGCAAAGAGTCGGGATCTAGGTAAGTAGCCTGAACTACTTCGCTCTACACACTCTACAACATCAGGAGAACACGTCCTCTTCTCACTCAGAAGGCAGCGCAGGTACTGATTCAGGCTCTTGTCATCTCCCTCCTGGACTACTGGAACTCTCTTCTGCAGGTCTCCTGGTACCTCCATTCCACCTCTGCAGCTCATCCAGAATGCAGCAGCTCCACTGGTCTTCAACCTTCCTAAGTTCTCCCACACTCCTCCGTTCTCTTCACTGGTACCGGTGGCTCATCCAGTTCTAAACATTGGTGCTCACGTACCGTGCTGTGAATGGATGGGGTCCAGCTTACATCCAGGACCTGGTCCAACCCGACATCCCGACCCGCACCCTCCGCTCTGCATGTGATAAACTGCTTGTTCCTCCTCACTGAGAGCAAAACACTCGACTAGATCTCCACTCTTTGCTGTCCTGCTCCTAAACCACAGAGAGCCTTCACATCTTCCGCCGCAAACTAAAGACACACCTCTTCAGACTCTACCTCGACTAAAGACTAACAAATTGTAGCACTTAAATTGTACTTATAATGGTTCTTATCTACAGCAAATTGCTTATTTGAGGAAATTGCACTTTCTTGTTTCTTGTTCTTCTGAGTTTGTATCCTTATGGTTGAATGTACTTATTGTAAGTCGCTTTGGATAAAAGCGTCAGCTAAATGAAAAGTAATGTAATGTAGGCAACTTTGACTTTAACACAGTCAAATCCTCTAAAATATGACACAATCATTTTTATCAATACTTTTACTAGAACATAGCTAAAAACAACGGTTTAGCATCCAATGCCGTTAGCTTACTAGCTAGCCTGCCAATTTATAGCAGAGCCAAATTATGTCAGCTATTTCACATAATACGTTTATTATTACAGAATGTAAGCCTTATTTGACAGCACGCTACATTCTTAACTATCGTATAAAACAAATGAAGTTACTTACCAAAGAATGGACCTCGGCCTGCGGTCGAGTTCAGTCGGTTTGTTCTCGAGCAGCCGCTCGCACTCACGATAAATGTGTAAAAATGATCCACATCCACAAAAGGTAGTCCCCCCAATTAAACACATTTATTTATATAAGGTTGATATACACCCCATCTAACATCTATCTAACTTCACTATCTCCTGACGCGGACAGTTTTTAGCTAACTATCCGGTAAAACTATTGATGAAAATGATCGTGTAATGTTTTCAGGGGTTTAACGGTGTTAAAGTAGGCGTTAGCTCATTACCTTTCGAGGCAAATACTGTTTTAATTATGAAAGTAAAAATATTCATAACCAGAATCAGTAAAAGGACGCTAATGGCAGTAAATTAGCCGTGCGCTGCTATAGGCATGACCCGGACAGACGTCCATCGTCATTGTAAAGATATGTTTTTTGAGGAGGTTAAACGTTGGTTAAAGCCTAGTTTATGCTTCTGCGTTTTCAGAGCGACGCAGACGCAAGCCCCCCTTGCGTGTCCCTTGCGTGCCTTTTCACACCTCCTTGCGTCCTTGCGTCCTTGCGTGTGTCGAGACATTTTTGTCGCTGCGGGAGGCTTGCGTCGCTTTCGACACAAGCCTCCCGCAGCGCACAAGGCTGTGATTGGTCCGCTAACTAACTACGTCCTTTACGGAGTCTCTCATTTCCGCTTTCATAGCCATACCGCCATTATTAAAACGAAGAATGTTTACGAGAGAACGGATCAGATTTAAGAACTTTTGTCAGAAGAAATGCGGAAATATGACCGCTTATACAAGCCGTCATTGGCGGGACGCAGACGCAGAAGCATGCGCTAGCCTTTAGGGTTCGCCAAAATTACCATCGATGCTGACAACATATCTGGGAACCCAATTCCGGCCTTTCAAAATAAGATATCCCGCTTCAACACCTCCAAATAGCGCAATAAAAGCTCTTTCATCGTCACTCCAGCATTGCCCAACCGTTGCCCAAGTGAGTCCTACTACTTTCTCATCAAAGTAACTTTCCTGCAGTAGGTAGACATGTAAATATTTATATATATTCATGAGATTTGACACATAGATGTATGAATTAATATCACTTACATTTCGACAACAAAAAGAAGACTAGAAGCAGCTTAAAATTAGGAGCGTTGGGGTCCTGCATATAATAGCTTCCGCTGTCCGCGTTAGGAGACAGTGACGTTAATTAATTAAACAATTCATTCTGGTGCTTTCTTTGATTTTCTTCACAACAACTGTCAGGATAAATAAAAACAAGCAGTGTGTTCAACAACCAGTCCAGTTTGTTTATCATGGCCGCTAGTTCCATCATGACCAAGTCCAGATGTTCAGCAGCCAGAACTCACCTCACCTGAATCCCCCCTGGGTCCTAGCGCCCTCCAAGTACTTCTTATAAGAGTTAATAAGCATTATCATAACATCGATGTACCAACACATATTTATAACAAATAGCACAACTACTGAACCGAGACTGTTTATGCTGCTTCCCGGTTGACAGATTAATACATGTTAACTTACGCTGCCTGGAAGGTGCCTGTTATAATGTATCTTGTTTTTCTATATTGAAACTAGATAAAAAATTGATGCTCTCTCAGTGGCAATTAATTATAACTGCTCTTGTGTAAAGGGAATATTACTCTTAAAAAGCACCTTGTTTGTTTAAAATGTTTGTAAACCAAAGGTTATTGCCTTTTGATCATATATTAGTACTTTTAAATAAAACCTTTATATTCATTTTTGAATTTTGCACATTGAAATGGGATTAATTGTGATTATATATATGTAGCTGTCCCCTCCTGTGCACTACAACAGAAGGTGAAGGAGTGGCGTTTCCCACAAAGACAACCTTTTAACAAGTGCTGTCAGAAGCGAAAGCACTTACAATGTCATTCTTTGATGTGTTATTATTACTCAACAATTCCAGCTGAGTGCCAAGAGAAGGTTTGAGGTTTTTTAAATGAGTGTAACTTTAAACTGTAACTATGCTAAGTAATGCTATTTTATTTCAAATTGAATTAGATTATTTTTCAGTTCAGTTAAACATACTGAATGCATTGGGGGTTTTCATGCCATTGGATGTGCCAGTAGCCACAACATACACAACTTACAGATATATGATGTATTCAAGGGGCAGTAGCTGGGATTGTTAAATATATTGCTATATGCTGAAGTTGTTTTTACTGTTGTTGTGTGTCCTTGTTATAGCCACCAAACAGAGAAGAAAAGCACTTATTTTTAAATAAATCTTTTTATTGATTTTACGACATATTCCAGGCAGACTTATTTTTAAACAAACTACTTTCAGGGTTTTTCCGTATATGGTTGATTCTGGTCTATATTGTTGGTTCCATGCAAAAACTTGCTGATGAAGTACCTTATTGTTTTTTCTCAGCTGCTTGTGGATTAGAGCAATGACTTGCTTCTCGAACCGGTTTATCACCACATGAGTGTGTATAAGGAACATGAACTGATAAACGCCACGTTTGAGGTTTGAAACAGTTATTGTACAATTTATTAAGTACAGTAAATAAAAGAAAGAGACAAGCAGGTCTTTTTAAGGGTGTTAAAAAATGAATTGGTCATATAGAAGTAAACTTAAATAAGGGAACTTCCCACATCATCACGCATGTTCTATCTAAATAAGTAAACAGGTGAAAAGGAGGTGTGACTCTGGAACTTCTGGAATTATAACTGTGTTTGTGTAAAGAACATAGGCGAGGCCTCCGGTAAAATATGTACAGTCTAACAGGGAACTAAAGAATAAAAAGGAAATAATGTTTGTGCTTTGCTCGAAAACTGGTTTGGCTCTCTGCCATTCATGCATTAAACAGGTCCAACAATGAAGGTGCTCAAGTTCAAGTTGTTTCATTGTCATACACTCAACCGAGAAGCTGTTGATGTCAAAGACTTCAATCTCAAGCTCCATCTGACTAATACATCTTTGCATAAATAAGATATAAATATAGTAGATAGCAGGTTATTTGTGCAGTGATGTACTGCACAGTGATATGTACGATGCCCAACATGTTCTGTCTATGGAAAATTTATACTGCAACTGAGACTGATAAATAGCACACAGGTAAGAAGAACAATGTCTTTGATTCCCGGCACAGTGAGCAGCATGCTGCCATTCGTCATTTTTCATGTTTGTGTAGCTTGGCACTGTTTCAGGGGCTTTGTGGCAAACAAGTTCGACAGCCTATTCCGGCACATCTCATACATTCCATCAAAACTGAAAGGGTCACCGTCATCGGCTCGCCGCAGACCTTTGTGTATATAAAGATGCTGCAGGTGGATGTGAGTGGCAGAGAACCTCCACACAGGTGAGTTAAGGGCATCATGGCTTCCACCTCAGTGCTCCTGCTTCAGCTGCTCCTGGTCTCTCAGGCGTCTGCATCTCACTTCTTTGGGGGAACCACGACCTACTACTACAAAGGCAAAAACCCAGATGGAACATTTAAGGTAAGAGATGAGTATAAACGTTTTTCTTTAATATATATATTTTTGTAAAGCATGTTTGATTACATCAAAACTATTTACATAAAAGATCTGATTGTTACTTTCTCCTCTGGTTTTATTGATATCTACCAGTGAAATCCCCCCTGTGGTGCTTAATGGATATTCTTATGTTTTAAAGCTCCTGAAGTGAGCTGGGATTTTTTTTGTAGTTATTGCAATTTCTACATCAGGAATCAGGAAACATTTATTACCAAAATATGTCAAACATACAAGGAATTTGTCTTGGCGGTTGGTGCGTGACAGACAGTGTGACAATAGACAACAAGACAGCAGTGCACAAGTAATAAAATAAAGTAAAATGAAATGCTAATGCAATGGGTTAGTAGAATAAGGCTATGGGTTAGTATAAAACAAGAGAATAAAGTTACAAATTTAAAATATAAAAAAAGTTACAAAAAATATTAAGCATAAAGTGCACTAGCGAACAAGTAACAAAGTGACGAGTGACGAGAAAGTGATAATGACAGTGTGAAGGGGAGTGACCTGGCTCTGTTGATGAGCCCGACTGCCGACGGGAAGAAACTGTTGGTGTGGCGGGAGGTCTTAGTCCTGATGGACCTCAGCCTCCTGCCAGATGGAAGGGGCACAAACAGTTTATGTCCGGGGTGGGAGGGGTCGGCTACCATCTACATCCACATATTATTTCAATTAAGAGTCTTTAATGCGTGATGCAAGAAAAATGAATATGGGTAATTTTCTGATACATTTGTTCATCTTTGCTGAGAGGTTACATTACGGATTTTCACTGTTGTTGTTTCTTATAATCACTGCACACTCAGGTCAGATAAACACCCTAAAAGATTTCACACAAGATTTACAACAGGGGTGTTATACTCATTTTAGGTAGAGGGCCACATAGTGTACACTTTAATCTCAAGTGGGCCAGACCAGTAAAATCATCGACATAGACGAGGGGGGTGGAAAATAAGTGCACGAAAAGTATTTTGGGGTTGAATATAGTTTTGACTATTTTTTTTCATTCTTCACTTGTATTTATTAAGGCTGAGGACAGAGTCGGACATCCCGGTTAAATAGCTTATCAGCAAAACACAAATTCTGCAACCGAAAAATAAAACACAGTGAATATCAAAAAATAAATACCAGGGAAGAATGAAAAAAATATATTTTATACAAAAGAATTATAAAAACTGAATCAAAAACATATTAAACTGGAAAATATTTTTCATGCACTTATTTTTATTTTTAATACATTGTTGTATTTTTCAATGTTCAACTACAAAACTTTCCGGTTCACATTTGTTTTTCAAATGAACAAAACGTTTGACCTGGATTTGGCTCCATACGAACTTCCCTTCGCTCTGGAAGTTCGCCCGAAGTATAATAACGAGCAATCGCAGTAACCAAAACAACACTGCATACTGTGAGCGCAAAACTAATCGAAAATTAAATTCTTGTCTTTTAGAAGCGAGGGAACCATGACAAGTTTTTGGACGACTTGCACTGTGTGGAGTCAGCCATGTTTCTTTTGAATAAAATAAAACTGTCCGTTAGTTAGCGAGAGTCAACCAACACAAGTTTTCTGTTAGCTCCTGCGGTCGATCGCGCATGTACGGGCCCCTGACGTGGTGACCGACCTGGTCTTACTCAGAGTGCGACCCCCAGTGGACTGATTAGGAATAGCAGCTGCTTTAATAGAAACGCAATTTATGTCTTTCTGTAATTCTCAAAATAGCAAAGTCATTCCCAGTGGCTCAAATTAAAAAACAATAACTTAACCAAAGAAAAGATGAGAAAAGCATAACAGTTTTATGAAAACAATGATTTTATTTTATATAACACTGAAGACTTTCTTGTCATTGTTGTGTTTATAGTTCCATCAACATTTTCGTTACTCTTCTTAGAACATATCGCAATATTATTGTTTTCATTATTTTTAATAAAATGCATTTTCAAAACTAAGATAACTTTCACTGTATTTGATGCTTCTTATGATCAAATCAAAATTGTCAATTTAGAGTAAAAGAACTAGTGTGTTTACAAAATGCAGATAAATGTACTTGATAAGAATGTGCTCAGCTTCAGTAGAGAACCATCTTTAACTGGAGGATCTTCTTCCAGGTGGACCTTCGCTACAGGGACACCTTTGATGGGTGCTATCACTCTCTCTACTGGAGTTGTTCCCAAGGCAATTGTGGTTATGTCCAAAGAAGTGTGAGGGGTGAGATTGAAAGCAGCACCAATGCACCACTATTCAACAGTCAATGGTGTGAAACTGAAACCGTCAGCAGGACAATCCTCCAGAGTAACAAACCTTTTCAACTCACGTAAGTTGTTCTTTTACTTTAAATCCTAACATGTTTTTAATGTATTTGTTGTGCTTATAATGAGTAATTAAAGTTTTTATGGGTTTTGTGATTGATGCATTCATCAGGGCTGCCAGCTGCTGTTGGATCCCAAAGCGTACCGGGGATGATGCTCAATGGAATCTACTGACTACGGTGGATTTGGGGATCAGATCTGACACAAAAGAACCAAACAGATCACCAGCCGTTGCTATCCTCCCTTTCCTACGGTAAGTCCTCTGTAGGTGGCATCAGGTTTCATCTGTTTGTGGAACAGAATCTGTGTAAAATGACCTGCTTCACTGCCTTATAGTGGTTGTAGTCTGCCAGCCCTCTTCCATCCGAATCATTTGCAAACTGGTGTAATCGCAGAAAAGTAGTGGCTTTGGTTTCATGATTCTTGCAAGATAGTTCACTTACTTTTATTACCTGCATGGATCCCTGGAATGTGATTTTAAACCATTTTTCTGTTGGGAAGAGTCAAAGTAAATGAATCAAATTGATTGTATTTTATTATGATTTATAGTATAGTTGCACATTTTGGGATGTGTTATCTTGTAGCTAACATGTTCTGAACTGTGCTACATTACATTACTTTACATTACATTACTAACACATGTTCACACATGTGAACAACTGAGAGCAAAACACTCGACTAGGTCTCGACTCTTCGCTGTCCTTGCGCCGAAATGGTGGAACGCGCTCTCTGAAGACATCAGGACCGCAGAGAGCCTTCACATCTTCCGCCGCAAACTAAAGACACACCTCTTCAGACTCTACCTCGACTAAAGACTAACAAATTGTAGCACTTAAATTGTACTTGTGACGTCACTCATCTATAGCAAATTGTAAATTCGCTTATTTGAGGAAATTGCACTTTCTTGTTTCTTGTTCTCCTGAGTTTGTACCCTATGGTTGAATGCACTTATTGTACGTCGCTTTGGATAAAAGCGTCAGCTAAATGACATGTAATGTAATGTAATGTAATGTAATGTAATGAATGTGTCTACTCAAGAGTTCCCCAGAACTGTCCCCGCACATACAAGCTAATGTCCTTCGATCCTGATGGAGACAAAGTTCGATGCAGATATGGAAATATCAACACTGGAGAGTGTTCCCTGTGTGACCAACCTTCAGGCTTTCACTTAGATCAGGTTAGTTGAAAGGTATATTTCCTAATACATGTTCATTGATGCTTTGCTTCACTTAACTTGTTGTTCACATTGTCAGGACACCTGCACATTACATTACCACTCGTCTAGGGCTGACTCCAGAGTTTATGGATTTGAGTTGGTGGTGGAGGACTTTCCGGTAGGCTCCATCAATCTGACCTACTCCGATGGATCCCAATCCTCCAGGGCCCCACTGCTTGTGAGGCGTAGGAGATCGGTTTTCCCACCAACATCTGCAGTATACAATTCGTGGTATAATTATCAAACCACCGCACGACCAATAACATACCCATGGTGGTATAATCCTCCACCCACTACAGCAAGAACAACCACCCCACCAACAACACCATACCCCTGGTGGTATCATCTTACACCCACTGCACGACCAATAACATACCCATGGTGGTATAATCCTCCACCCACTACAGCAAGAACAACCACCCCACCAACAACAACAACATACCCCTGGTGGCATCATCATACAACCACTGCACCCCCAACAACCCCCCCATCAACAACAACACCATACCCCTGGTGGTATCATCATACACCCACTGCACGACCAATAACATACCCATGGTGGTATAATCCTCCACCCACTACAGCAAGAACAACCACCCCACCAACAACAACAACATACCCCTGGTGGCATCATCATACAACCACAGCACCAAGAACAACCCCCCCACCAACAACAACAACACCCTACCCCTGGTGGCATCATCATACAACCACTGCACCCCCAACAACCCCCCCACCAACAACAACAACACCCTACCCCTGGTGGCATCATCATACAACCACCGCACCCCGAACAACCATTCCACCCTACCTTACCACCAGGACGCACCAGCATGCCACCACTCCTCCACTCAGTAAACTACCTTTGCAATTCTCCTTCCTTGGTGAGTCCATTTTGATTGTATTTGACATTTTATCAATGAGCCAATATTTTAGAAATCTTAACGTCAGGATTAGTCCCTAAAATCCCTAACAAATGTTGCTTTAGGTTTTCAACATTTTATAAATTCAGTAAAATCTTTTGATCCTGACAATGAACGCCTGTTGTGTAAAAAACGTTTTCCTTTAAAACATCAACTTTCTATGAACATAAACAGCCGCAGCCTGCACGCATTTCATGAACTTTTAACAGCCTTCCTCGGACGGCTTTGACGTTTTGATCCACAGACAGCAGCAGTGTCGGTTTTCAGCTTATTGCTTTTGGTCATTTAAATCAACCTTCTATTTTCAACTCCAGTGGACCCACCTGTTCCCTCATGTGCCGAGGGAGTCTACCTGCCGAGGTTTGTGGAGCCAACACCTGAAAATGGAGCCCACATCCAGGCAGAGGTCAACAGAGAAGTGGAGATCAGAGTGAAAGCAGTAGCGGCGTATTCAAAGTAATTGAGATTTAACGAGATCGCTGTTGCCTCGAGACGATCAGCAAGAAAGAGTCACTACATCTCTGGTTCCTCTGTGTTGTTTTCACACAGAATACATGATATAATCATAAGTGGCCCAGTGAACATCACCACGCAAAGGAACACAGATGGAGACTTTGTCATTAGGTGGACGCCGATCCAAGACGACCTGGGGGATTTCTTCTCCATCTGCTTTGCTGTTGAATCAGTGGCCGGGTGAGTTTTGGGTTCCTCGGGAGAGAACTTCTTTCTGTGTGTGTGTGTGTGTGGGGGGAGCCATGATTTGACTTCTGACATTTTTGCAGGTCCCATGGTAACACACCGCATTACTACACCACCCCGTCCTCACAGTAAGTGACATTTCTCCGTGTTTGGCGTCTTTTTCAAGCAACAAATTTAGAGATTAGAGACGACGAGACAAAAACACCAGTAGTAACTTTAACTTAAGACATTAGGACATAGCTGCTTAAATCTTCACCGATGCTCCTCAGGGCGGGAGTCTATCAGACCGAGATGAGGTGTGTTGTGGTGGAGGTCAAGACGAAGCACGGTGAGTCTACTTTAATGTCACACAACATGTGGTTGAGCTGCAGCTGTAATGGTGTACTTAACTTCTATAAAGAGCTGTGAGTGGGTGAACTGACCAAACTAAATTAAGAAGTATTTCCTTATTAAATGTATTTTGGAATGTTTATTAAGTATTTTAGATGAAAAGTCTTCTTCGTCCTTGTGTTTGCTGGAACATGACTGAATTAGTGAACAAGAGGAAAACCACAGGTACGATGTGTATTTTTAACAATCTCGTTCTCTAGTTAAAAGCAATGTGATCTGCACCGGGACCACAATGACAATAGAGCTTGAGAAAGCTTCTCTCCCCGGACACCATGCGGACCATCTGAGGCTCAACGACGCCACCAACACCGCCTGCCGCCTGAAGTCCAACAACACCCACATCTTTGCCGTCATCCCCCTCAACGATTGTGGGACCGACATCGAGGTGACGCGAGCTGCGCTCTTCTCCTAGTTGTTGCTGTTGTTGCCTTTTATCTTCTGATAACTGACACTTACCTTTTTCACTCTGCAGGAAGACGACATTAACCTCAGGTTCAAGAACGCAATCACCACGTTTGACAACGTGGCCGACGTGATCACCAGGAAGCACCTGCTGGAGGTGGACTTCTACTGCCAGTACCCCAAACGTGGGAATGTGACGCAGGTCTTCACGGCACACAGGCCCAAGGTCGAAGTTTGGGACAAGGGCTTTGGCACGTTCACCTACCAGTTTGAGTTCTATCCCAACAACCAATACCTCACCGCCATCGATCCCAGCACATACCCGCTGGTGTATGTTCTTGGGAGCAGGATCTTCATGCAGATCGAGGCCACCTCCTCCATCAATAACACCGTGCTGTTCGTGGAGTCCTGCAGAGCTACGCCATATGACAACCAGAACTACCAGCAAACCTACTCCATCATCGAGAACGGGTGGGCACGAGTACTCAGTACTGATTGTTTTCTGTCATGTGAGAGTGGCTTCATAGATGGAATTGAAACGTCTCTCTATGTTGTGCTTCACTGTGGAGATCGGGGCTGCCCAATAGGTCGATCACCTGCCATTGACAAAAAAATCCGGTCGGGTCAATGCGCATGCGCGGTCGACCGCGGGAGCTAACGGAAAACTCAGTGCTAATTAGCATCCTTGCTTACTGTTACTGTTCCGTTCCCGCTACTACTCATTCGCCAGGGGGGTAGTTCGCCATGACTTGGTGAGCTAACAAGTAGCTTGTAGGCCAAAAAAGTGTGGGCACCCCTGGTGTGGAGGATTGTCTCCTCTTGCTTTAGAGGCTCTATATGATTTCACTAGGGGTTGCCACCTTTAGTACAGAAAAATAAGGAATGCTTGACGACAGCTCGGAAAATACGGGACGATTCCGTATTTTAAGGGACGGGTGGCAACCCTAGATTTCACCGTAGTGGCGAAATGGCCCCTGATGTAGGCACTGTAGGTTTGTGGTTCAGCAGGGCAAGAGAGTAGATTATCCATGCAGGTATTTCTGTTCCTCACATCATTTAATAGCCCTATAAACAAAGACACAAACAAACAAAAGATCTCTCCTGTGCTGTATAAAACCTTAAGCCCAACCCGTGCATGCTGGTCCTGTACCTGCCCACCCAAAATCGAGTATACTTAGACAATAACCAATGACTAATAAATTAAATCATCAAATAAAGTCAATGCCGACTTCACTTATTCTTTTGCATTATCTTCTTTTCCTCATCATGTGAATGCCTAAAACAGGACACACTTCTGTCCCTACGGCAGCGTCCGCTGAAAGACGCCGACTGACAAAGGTTCTGCGTCTTGTCCTTTTCTTGTGTCCTGCTCTGACCAGGTGTAACGTGGATCAGACTGTTGAAATACACTCCACCTCCCACCAGAGACAATTCCAGTTCAGCATGGAGGCCTTCAAGTTCATCGGCTCGCACGATCAGGTAGAAGACGCAGCAGTGCACTGCTCTGAACTAATTCAAAATGTCCTTAGTGATGACCCATGCACACTTGTTGGACAGGTGTCACCTGAGAAAAATAATCTCTACACTAACTCTACTACATACACAATGTTTCCTCTTCATTGACTTGTTTTCTACTGAAGCCTCGGTCTGTCACGTAGAGGCACAGTGGAGACGAGGAGGCTTTTTTACTGTCTGCTGATGTCATGACGGCGTGTCCCGATGCATTCAGGTGTACATCAGCTGCACGGTCCTGATGTGTGAAGCAGGAAGCCCCAACACCAGGTGCTCTCAGGGATGCGTCAACTCCACAATGCAGAGCGGTTGGCCTGCGGCTCACCACCACAGGAAGAGAGAGCTCATCGCTCAAGGTCAAAGGCACTTTGTTTCCCAGGGTCCCTTGCGCCTGGGGAGATCAGCGGAGGACAACAAAAGCCCAGGTGGGAAAGCAGAGAGAGCGTTTTTTCATTTGTTCCTGCCCCACTTTGGACCAGATGTAATCAAGAACTGTGCTTCTTTCCTCCAGCGCTCCAGCTGAATCTGAACCTGGTCTTCATCGCCGGATGTCTCCTTGCAGCCGTTGGCATGATCAGTGCAGTGGCCTTGTACAAGGCCAGAGGGTCAAGGGTCAGATACCAACCTTTGTCCACGTTTGAAAGTTAAGTCAACAGGCGGAATTCCAAATTCTGTACGACCTTCATTCGACGATGTAAAGCTTTGCCACCAGTGGGGTGCTGGTGTTTCTTTTGTTTCAGCTCCATATGTTAACGCCTCTATACCACCAGTGGACTGCTGGTGTTTCTTATGTTTCAGCTTCATATGTTAACACCTCTATACCACCAGTGGACTGCTGGTGTTTCTTATGTTTCAGCTTCATATGTTAACACCTCTATACCTGTCTGCAGCTTCAACGGTAGAAATACTGAATCTGAGAAGAGTTTGGGGTACTTCTGTGTCTTTTTAAGGGGATTTTGTTCTTTTTTGCCATTTTGTGTCCCATTGAGGTGGTTTTGCTCCCTTTAATAGTTGATCACTCTCTTTGAGTCTCTACATGTTTGACCCATTCAGTAAGATGGCATGATTTAATCAATAGGTGCCACCCTATCCAGTCATTGTCATGTCAAAGGTTATCATTACATGTCAAAGGCTCTTTTAGTACTGGAACGTGTAATTTATGAAACACTTGATGGATCAATAAAAGCCTATTTTTTCCCGCATATTTGTTGCTTGCGTCCACTTTCATTATTTTTTCTCACTTATATACAAACACTTATTTTGATTCCTTATTGCCCATTACAGAAATATATCAAAAGACATGAACATGAACTCTGCAGCTCACTGATTGGCCTCAGGTCGGTGTGAGGTTAAAGACAGCCTCTACTGAATCTGTTTTTTCCCCAACTGACAATGGTCAGTGCAAGTTTAAGACTGCAGTACCTCCTTCGATCAATCAATTTTTCCAAATCGGAAAGGATTAAGGATTCAGGTCTGTCATTTAGCTGACGCTTTTATCCAAAAGTTTAGCAGATGCAGAGCAGCGAGTGCGGGTCGAGATGACCACGCCCTCAATGTAAGCTGGACCCAATCCATTCACAGCATGATACGTGAGCACCAATGTTTTGAACTGGATCCGGGCAGCCACCGGTAGCCAATGAAGAGAGCGGAGGAGTGGAGTAGTGTGGGAGAACTTAGGAAGGTTAAAGACCAATCGAGCTGCTGCATTCTGGATGAGCTGCAGAGGTGGAATGGTGGTAGCAGGGAGACCTGCAGGAGAGAGTTACAGTAGTCCAGGCGGGAGATGACAAGAGCCTGAATCAGTACATGCGCTGCCTTCTGAGTGAGAAGGGGATGTATTCTCCTGATGTTGTAGACCAGGGGTGCCCACACTTTTCAGGCTCGCAAGCTACTTTTCAACTAACTAGGTCATGGCGAGTCTCTCATCTGTGAGAAGGTGGAAACCATCACAAGCATTCCGCTCATTGGCACTCTTGGTCATTACCTTACTGGAGTCAGCCTGGGTTGCTATGGAATGAAATTAAATGCATCTAGCAAGAATCTCTAATTAGTATTAGCATTCGTTTTGGTCATCTCTCGTGGTAGACCACGCATGCGTGACGTGACGTTATTTTTTTATCAATGGCACGCGATCGACCGGTACTGCCTTTGAGATTGACTGGTCGACAGGATCACGACCAGTCGATCGACACGATCTACAGGATCGTGTTGTTGCAGTGATGTTGGGAGTCAGGGAGAGTTGGCTGTCGAGTGTCACGCCGAGGTTCCTACCACTCAAAGTAGGCGTTAACACGGAGTTGCCAAAGTTAACAGTCAGGTCCTGGGTAGGAAACCCTTTCCCGGAAAGAGAAGTAGTTCAGTCTTGTCAGGGTTTCAGATGGTGAGCGGATCCACTGAGAGATGTCAGTCAGACAGGCAGAGATGCTTCCACCTGAGTGTCCAAGAGAGGAAAGGAGAGAATTAGTTGGGTGTCATCAGCATAGCTGTGGTAGGAGAAGCCATGCGAGCGAATGACAGCGCAGACAGAGTTGGTGTAGAGCGAGAAGAGCAGGGGACCGAAGACGGAACCCCAAGGTACTCCAGTAGTAAGAGGACAAGGTTCTGACACAGATCCTCTCCAGGTTACCCGGTAGGTGCGGCCATCAAGGTAGGACGAGAGAAGGGAGAGAGCGGAGCCTGTGACACCAAGTTCCTGAGCGGAGGAGATAAGGATCTGGTGGTTTACTGTGTCAAATGCAGCAGAGAGGTCCAGAAGACTTGAGCAGTGTGGAGGTTGTTACGGTAGAGAGTTAGGAGGAGAGTTGAAGATAGCATCTAATCTAATGGCATCTTTATTTTGAATAAGAAGATATTTTCAATGTTTTTATCAAAACAAATGACACAGAAACAAAAATAGGTCATAACAGCTTCATACATCGATCTAACTGTCATATTATTAATTAATATATCCTAAAATGTGACTGTTTAAATGTGTTTTTTCACACAAGAGAGGAGAAACAACGTTTAGAACAGGGGTATCAAGGCCACCAACATGATACAATAACCTCTAAATCTGTGTCCCAGTCGTCCAGTTATACTCCCTATTTATACAACACTTGGCAGCTAATCAGAAATTACAAAATCATCAAAGACAAAATCAAATTGGATTTTTGTTAAAGAACATGTTGAAACGCAAACGTACCTAACATGAGCCCCACCTTCCTGTTTGGAAAAGATCACTAAACCTCTTAACTTTCATCCTTCAGGTGTACATCACCTGTACATCATCCTGTGCGAGGCTGGGAGTCCCTTTTCCAGATGTGTCCAGGGTTGTCTGAACAAACAGGGAGACAGTTGGACACTTCATTACCCAGGGTCCTTTGCGGTTTGTCGTACAGGCTGTTCCCAATTGCTTCAATGCATTTAGGGGTGTGGTCCTGGTCAAGACAATCTCCTGAACTCCAAACTGAATGTCAGAATGGGAAAGAAAGGTGATTTAAGCAACTTTGAGCGTGGCGTGGTTGTTGGTGCCAGACGGGCCGGTCTGAGTATTTCACAATCTGCTCAGTTACTGGGATTTTCACGCACAACCATTTCTAGGGTTTACAAAGAATGGTGTTAAAAGGGAAAAATATCCAGTATATAGTTTGTGCTAAAATGGGTCCTCTTTTAACATTCAACCTGACTCTTATTAATTTTGATTAACTATAAAGTGGAATTATATTCAGAGTGTTGGTTTCTTCTAGGTCATTGAAGCTCAGTTAAACACAAGGAGGGAGTGAATGTGTCTCTGCAAGCAGTGCATCAATCTAACTTCGCCTTTGTTTCTTCTTTTGGGCTACAGAGAGGATCATCCCAATCCGCAGTGAACACCTGGGTCCGGTTTTTCAAAAGTAATCCACTAGGATTTTGGATAACGGATTAGATCAAATCTTGAAAATTGATTTTTCAAAAGAAAAACTAATTACATAATCTGATTAGATCACGTAATCAAATCTTGGTTTTGATCCGAATCAAACCTTTAGTTTGGGTCTTTTTTTGTAGGATTTGGATCATTTTGATCCAAAAAATCTGGATTAAATTGATTCCATCAGAAGGGTGGATTTCATGCCCAAAATTTGATAAACTTTAAAAATGTATCAAATAATACATTATTTGGATCATGCAGTATCTTACAAGATATCCTATTTATTCAATGTAGAATATCTGTTTGCAAGCATCTGCCTGTGCAAGGGTTATGTTGCATGCTTTCTGTGGTTCCGCTCTCAGGTAGTTAAGGCATGCAAAGCGCCTCTTAAGAACTCCATTTAAACGCTCAATTGCACATCTCTCACCACATCACACACAGCTGATTTCACCACTCCCATATAGTCACCAACACTTTGATAGAAAGTCCCACATGCATAAAATCGGAGAGCAATGAGGATCTGGTCTCTCCACATCAGATGAGGAAGTCTGAAATTATTGTGGAGTATTTGACATTAAGTCTTTTTTTTTAATTCAATACATCTATATTTGAAACTTGTTATAATCTCGGATCGGTCTCGGATGAGCGGACTGCTGGAGGAGGATGGAGTCTGGTTTTCTTGTTTTTAGTTTTTTTTAAATGTGTGTGTTTTCATTTCAAATAGAAATAAACTTATATTGACCCCACACTGGCTATTCTACTGGTTGCTCTTTACATATCTATACTTCTACATTGTGATTTCCTATCCTGTTTGATCCAATCCGATGTTGCTTTGAAAAACTGGCTCAAAAGTAAGCTGGATTACGTGATCACGGATCGCAAGAAAGAGGATTACTAAATACGGATCAACTTGATCCGGATTTTGAAAAACCGGGCCCTGAGGATACAAGTCCTGAAGCAGAAGGTCCCGAACCGCTCCGCTTCCTGGATGTTGATTTACCATCAGCTTTATTTAATATTTCCTGATGTTGACTGAAATATGTGCCAACCTATTGTAATACGTTATGCCTTATTTTTTTTAAATGGATTTCTGGCAGATACAGTTGCTGGCAATTTGTCTTTGAACTTTGTAATAAAATACCGTAACTCATACAATTGTACTGTGTTTATCTCTGAGAAAGACCTTAATTAGGTTCAAAATGAATGCTGTTTTTAAAAAAACATACCGTATTGTCTTATACAAACAAAACGGTAATTTACCGTTGTCGGGATCTCTAATCCCCCCCGAGTTGGTTGATGAGAAGGATCGCAACACGGTGATCAATTAAAGTCAAAAAGTTAACATTTATTTAGAAGAGAAAAAGATGACATGAGCAATTCTCCGCAGATATCTGGCTCTAACTATTGCTTGCAAGCAGGAGGTCGACCACACCAGCACGTATCTCAGCGCTCAGTGTAATGGAGTCCCCGAGCGGTAAAAACGCTGAGTGCAAAGCAGGTCGAGATAAGGTTGAGATAAGAACCCATCCAGACACCCGATTGGTTTTCTCCGCGATGCGCCGGCCGATCGGAGCGACACCGGGTGGGAAAAGTGGTCGGTGGAAAGTTGGTATTTAGCGACACGGACCCTCCTCCTCTTCCTCCTCCTCCTCTTCCTCACGCAGATTCCATTAGATGAGTTTCATGGCCGTGGGTTTGTCTTAAATGTTTGATTGGGAGTCTGGCACACGGCGACTTGCAAGCAGCGTATTAAATAAAGTGACGTGTGTCTTAATGCGGCTTTGGAAAGGAACACAAAGGGATTCTGTATTCGCTCATAAAGCCTGAACACGTTATGGTTATTTGGCCAATGTTTTGATAACCGACCGCTGCCAGTTCAATGTTTCCCATCATTATAAACTGGTGTTTTTGACGTAAAAATGTATACGAAAATCTTGAACATACAAATTCGTAGTGATACATAAGAAATAGATACGGACTGCAACTGATGACGTCACCCTGTTCAAAGTGAACGGGGACCTGCGCCCCGTAAACACACTTCGTGAAGTCTAACGATGTAAAATAAACGTGTTATGATTGCGTTTTTAACGAGAAATGAATGTTAACTTGTAAGAATAGAATACTAACCCTAACCCCCTCAAAAAATCCAACATGGCGGAGAGACGTTCACTCAAGAATCCGACATGGTCCGCCATGTTGTTCACTCAAGGGGCGTGGTCAACCACCGCCAGTTCCCGTGTATTGTTACCAATTTGTATGTTCAAGATTTTCGTACACATTTTTATGAACAGGTTTTGGAGATGTGATCTGCAGACGCCTTCTGATCACATAACGGACTGACGTGTTGTGTGAGCGAGGTTACGCGTTAAGAGTTTGTCCTTAATGGAATTTCTTACATTACTTTTATACTTTAAGTAGTTTTGAAACCAGTACTTTTATACTTTTACTTAAGTAAAAAGCTTGAGTTGGTACTTAAACTTCTACAGGAGTCTTTTTAAACCCTAGTATCTGTACTTCTATTGAGTAATGAATGTGAATACTTTTGACACCTCTGGGAATAAATAAAGCGAGGAGTAGAGTTAGTTCTTTGCCGGCTGGTCTCTGTTCCCCGATGTCAGCATACTAAAGTTAGCAGCATCTCGACATGGCTAATGGCTAACGGTCACTCCGATAGCTGGGGGTCTCAACCAATGGCGAGTTCAGGCAGCTTTCTTTGTTTGCATGTTGGAAGAACGATTAAAAGCTTTCCTTCCAGCGTTGAACCGCCTACCCTCACATTTCACCCTTGCATGCGGAAAACCTGTAAGTCTCCACCTGGTGGATGAATTCTGGTACTGCGCTCATCGATATGACCACAGGGCGTCCTCATACGATGGTTTATGGTTTTATTTCAACTTTAGTTTAGTTAAAAACAAGATAGAAAGATATAATTAATATATACAGTGGCATGTAAATTGAATTAAACGAGTTACCATAGAAATTTAAAATAGGTATCAGAATCATTTCTATAGATATCCTATTAAATTCTGTTTATTTTAAGAATGTCCTTTTCCGGCCCCATGCTAAGTGCGTTCACCCGAAAGCGTATATTTGTATAGCATATATATATATAGCATACACAATATAGCTGAAAATAATTAGTTATATTTAAGTTTTAAATGTAAATACATTATTTCCAAAACGCCCCTACGACAATTTATAGAACTAAAAGGACATAAATTCACTTCTCAATAAGTGATATGAAACAGTCTGTCTAGGTGGAGTAGACTCAGTGAAAATGATTTAATATTAAATTATTTACGATTTATGAGAGAAATTTGCGGTTTAAAATAAACCACATGTGCAAACACACTCAGATGTTTTTATTTATTTTTAAACAAACGGGTTTTCATAGGATGCAGAATTATTTTTTATTATTTGTGGGATTCATTTGAGGTTTTCTGAAACAAAAATACGAGCGACCACAATCCTCCACAATAACAAAGCTGGTCGGGTCAGAAGAGTCCACATCCTCTTCCTCGTTGGTTTGTGGCAGCAGTGGATTGTTGGTTTGTTTGCGCTTCATTCAACTTCATTTAAATGTCACTCATTAGTTGTTTTTACTTCTTTTTAATATGTGTGTTGTTAACATAGCAATATTGCAGGTACTTGTATATAGTCAACATCAATACATGTATAAATAAATAAACATTGATATCAGGTATTACGACTATAAACTCAAACAACGTCATTGCATTTGTGGCTTTTAGTAATATCTCTCTCTTATTGTCCTTGAGGGTTAGCGGAACCAAAGTGACCAAAACTCTGTTTCCAGTAGGACCACAACAAACGGGGACTCCCGTTGGAGCCTTTTCTCGCTGGATAACAATGTTTTTCCCTGAGTTAACACAAAAGTAATCGAAGTGGTTTAATGACAAACAATCAATTAAAAACTCGAGCACGTCGGAAGTATGTAACACTGTAGCTATGAGCAAATAGCTTGAATTATAAAACAGCCTCTCGCAACGCTAAGCTAGTTAGCTTACCGATGCTAACTTAACGCACCTTAAAAGTTGCTCAATTAATATCAGCACAGCAGTGTTACGTTAGCTTCGGTAAGTATTACAACGCACTAGTTATTATTGTGATTGATTTAAAATTGTAATTTGTGGGCTGTCAGTTGAAAGCCACGCGAGAAGTTCCAGCTAACGGAGCTAACTTAGCGCGGCTGTGTTCGTCGATGTTGGCCAGAAAGCCTTTGCCCTGCGTTAGCTAGGAACCTTTTTAATAGACATGAAATACTCACGTTTTAATAAAACAGGACCGCTACAACATGCTGCTTAATAATAATGTGTCAAATTTGATTTGACTATTATTTTAATATGTTGTAGCTAATTTACTCAAACCTCGAGTGAGGTTTAATGATGAATTATTAATGGTAATACATTAAATGATTCATCTGTTAATCTAAATCTTGCACGATGCATTATTAGTAAATTGTTTAATTTATTTTTATTTTGAATTTCACTTCAATCCAATTATTTCAATAATAGCCACAATACTTATATTCAAACAAAATAATTTAAGTTTTCTTAACCTGGGCTTTTGTTGCACCTGATTGTCCTTATCAGCGTCTCTGTGCTTCTACACCTGTTGAGAATTATTAACACTGTTTCATTGCTTTTATATTGCCAACTATTTAACTCTGTAGACTACGGAAAAAGACAAATATCTGACAGAATAAAAAGGCAAAATTATAGGAACAAATGTGAAAAGGAATATTACATCAAAGCTCAGCAATCAATGACATGATGTAGAATAAAAGTGTTTGAGGTGTTTGTCAGACCTTCTGGCACTTTGTAGCCAACGTGCTCGGGATCCTATTTCGCGGCGCTCAGTCCTCATTTGGCCTCAAACACTCGTTTCGCCCACAGAGCCTCATGGCCGCTCTCGCTCCCCCCATCCCGTCCCCTCTGGCCTCCTTCCTCTGCGCGTTGCTCCCCCGAGGATTTGCCCTGGGGCCATCGCGGCTCTGCGGGGGCCGCGTGGGGCTGTGGTGGGTCGGCCGCCCGCTGGAGGCCGGATCCCTGCTGGGGAGGGACGGGGACACGGAGTGGGCCTCCGGGGGTCACCCAGACCCGACGACCCGCAGCCGGGACGGTCATCCCGGGGAGGCAGAGAAGGTAAGAGGAAGAACAAGCACAAAGGTACGGCGCTGTGACCCCCCAGCAGCGACGCCACGACACCGAAACAAACGGTTCGCACAAAACATCTATTCAATAACCTTTTCCATTTCAGTTGCAGCTGGTTTCTCTCAAAATTGCGAGACCAACTGTGTAAAAATGTATCTTTACCTTTTTGTATAAAGTAATTAGTTTGTCCGCTGATGTTCTAATCTCAATGAATTCAATACATATGCAAAGCACAACCGAGCTGTGTTCACTTTTAGCTCCTTCTAAGGCAGAATCCTCACTGCACGAGTAGAAAGCTTTCACATGACACCTGATGTCATCCATAGAGATCAAGCGGTTCTGCCGATGAACTTTAAAAGCATTTTATACTTTTTGATTTTATAATAGAATTGGATTTCGTGTCTTACATGAGTAGAAAATCAGTATTTTATGAATTCTTATCCTGATTAGACACATTTAAACTCTGCTCTTCAGGCTCTGATGGAAACGGCAACAAGTAAAGAATCTTCTTCTCTACAAAGAGCCGCCTGGATCACGTGAGTTGACTCACTGCTCCGAAGCTCCTTGTCCTTCCAGCCCAAATTGTACAGATGTTTTTGTTGCAAATCAACACTTGGTTTGATTGTATTCATTATGGAAGTTACTGCGAGGAACCGTAACTGGTTCTGAAGCCGCCTCTATATGAAACCAGGCTCGGTCATCTCGGTCAATTTTCAGATTTGCCTGCCGGGCACCGCGAGACCAGTGGAACGTGTCGCGGCAGTGCGCCTGCGGGGAGGCGTGCGCGGCCGAGTGCGAGGAGGCGTGTCTGCACGTTTCCCGGGACATCCGGCCGGGAACCGAGCTGCTGCTGCTGCTGCCGAGCGGAGGCGACGCCGAGGGAGAGAGTCCGACAACCGACCCACCCGGTAAGGTCATCCTATTAATAAAGGGATTAATCAGGCATTCATGTGCCGTGATTTAATCCAGAATAACCCCGTCAGATGTTTGCCCGCGTCAGTCCACTTCCTGTTCACTCCACCTGGAGGAGCAAGAGGGACGTTAACCTCCAGCCGTGTTCAGCTGAGGAACCACTTTATTGTTAAATGAAATCTCCTTTATGTGAACACAACGGGGGCGTTGATGAGCGTCGACCTGTCTGATGAAAGCGAATAAAGTCAGAAAAATACACTGTGAAGCTGGAGTACATTGTTGCTCATCCATGTGCCGTGATCGACATTAAGTCCCCCCCCCCACCCACCCAGCAGCGTCAGACCCGCTGCTTTTCCTATTAAACTTGTGCCCTTCTTCTGCGCTGACGATTTAAACCAGCCTATAATCCTCAGAAGCTTTTCCAAAACCCATAATGACGGCTAAATGAAAGATAATAAGAGGAGAAACAAGTGATCCATGCGGGGAGAGTTCGCAGATACTAATGAGATTCCAAGGGAGCAAAAGAAAGCCGTGATTGAGGCGACGAGGACCATAACGAGCATTAATAAAAAGCAATGAAAGAATGAATCAAAAAAACAGCTGGTTGGTTTGAATGTAAATTCTACCAGAAAACCCCCCCCAGGCAAGATGCAATATTTAATGTAATTACTGTGCATAAATATAAGTAGTAAAGAAAAGAAATGCGTTTGAGGGAAATGTTATTGCTTTAAATGTCACTTTAATGTAGCGCGAAAATTTTTATTTAGTTAATAAAGTTCTACTTCATGTATTTGACAAATACAATTACTAGTTACTAGCAGTTACTATCTTTAAAAACTGCGAGAGAGTAATATTGTTCTATTAATGACATTCTAAATCACTGGTGTCAAACTCAAGGCACGCGGGCCGGATTTGGCCCGCCGGTGGGGTCCGGTGCGGCCCGCCGGATGACTTTTGTCCAGTACAATTTTGCCATTGTGAGGCGGGTAGATGAGTTGGATTGAAAAGTATATTGCGAGCAGTCGACCGGAACGTCATTTTTAAAGGTCTGGCCCACTTGAGATCAAAGTGAGTTTCTCACCCCTGTTCTAAATATTGAGTTTAAACCTGCTGCTGAACATTATCTCTGAAATCAACAGACGTGGAGGCGGAGCACAACAGACACTCCGGCGCCGACCTTCCTTCCATTCGCGAGACAGAAGACAGACTGAAGGAAGAGGAGGAAAAGGAAGAAGAAGAAGAAGAAGAAAGACCAAAGTCTATCAAGAGAAATCATGCAACCAACCGCACGAGGAACCGGAGGGTCAAGAGAACTCGGCGCGACGTCCCAGCGGGAGACGGACAGACGGGCGGTGGACGTCACGTCCCGCCTCCTCCTCCTCTTCCTCCTGCGGACGGAAGCGCCCCCGTCCGCTGCAGCTCGCGCCTCGCCTCCAAACCGCGGCGCGTTCACCGTCCGGCCGTGTCCCTCGCAGAGGGGGCGGGGCCCAAGGCCGTGCGCGTCACCAAGGAGACGGGTCTCTCGTGGGACCCGGAGGTCAGAGAGCGGCGGCACAGGTGCTCCACCTGCGGGAAGAAGTTCTACCAGATGGGCCACCTGAAGAAGCACCAGTTCAGCCACACGGAGGAGAAACCCTTCAGCTGCCAGGAGTGTGGGAAGAACTACACCTCCTCCGAGAGCTTCAGAGCCCACCAGGTACCAGCTGGGACCACGAGCTGCATGTAGGCCTCTCTGTTGTAGTTTTATGACATTTACAAATACATATTGTTTGCATGGTGTCCTTGGCTTCCCTGACATTCTACAAATGGGGGAAAAAAATGTACCTTTTCTAAATTACCTCTATTATATTTGCCATTTGTGGCCTGTTTGGCAACATTTACCCCGACATTGTCAGATGATATTTCCTTTTTCCTCCTCCTTTCTCCGCTGCTCTCGAGCCTTTTTCATCAGACGATGTCTGTATGATTTTATCGTCTTCAAAACAAGGACTTGACGCTAAATGGCCTCAGCCTCGTAACGAGGTCGCGATGAGTGCGTAACAAGGGCGCGACGAGGCTCTTAACGAGGGCGCATCCGCCGTTCCGTTTGCAGATGAGTCACCGCGGCGAGCGGCCCTTCTCCTGCCCCCTCTGCGAGAAGTCCTACGGCCTGAAGCGGGACCTCAAGGAGCACCTGGTCCTGCACAGCGGGGAGAAACCCTACGTCTGCGAGCACTGCGGCAAAGCGTTCGCCCGCCGGCCCTCGCTGCGCATCCACCGCCTCTCTCACTGCAGCAGGAAGGCCCACACCCAGTCTCCTAAGGTAGGCTGTGGGGGGGGTCAGACCTCCTCAGGGGACCCTCACCACCCTTCTACGAGTGGAGTTCTTACCCTTCTGATCTACGGGTGGAGAAAACTACGGCAGGATCAGATCAAAGAAACCTTCATTGATCCCCAGCAGGGGAGTTTTAGTTTTTGTACAGAAATATTACAGCTGCAGAAATTAAAATTAAAAAATTGAAAGTTGTATAAAATGTGGAGAAAAAAAACAAGCGCTTTTAGGGACCAAAGTGGAGTGACAGTGGAGTGTTTAATAGCTGCAGCTTCAACGAGTCTTTGTTCAAAGTGTGTATCAGACCGACGACAGGAAGCAATGCATAACATTATTTAAATGAGATTCAAATCCAGCGGGAAGCACAATGAGCCGCTCAGCGTGTGAAGCAGCACGATGTGGGTGGAGTAAAGATTCAACATTAGGTATAAATAAAGACAATTAAAGCAGACACACAATAGCGTCAGAGCCCCGATGTGTTCGAGCAATGCTTCAATTATTGGGATATTTCTGCAGCTTTGAGCATAAAAGGTCAGTAGTCTGTACGGTCTGTTCCAGATGACCTGAACACGTCAGGCCTCGAAGACCAGCAACGTCTTCTTTAATTTAAATAACTGAACAAAAAACAGAATAAACTAAGCAGTAAATATGTGTATTTATAAGCCCTAAAATCTGTAACATATTAATATAATGTTAAATTATGATATGTATGTAATATGATATGTTGTAATGTGAAATATAGTATTAATTTAGTATAGAACGGAAATGGTGATACAATATAATTTAGTATTTAATGCAATATTATATGGGTGTAATATAATGACGGCAATAAAGCTGGATTTAAAAATCTTTCAGAAAATCAGTTCCATAAATATTTTAAGAGGTAAAAAAGCACAGCGAGTTATAATGAATAAAAAATAACTTTTGCTGGTTTACAGTGTAAAAGTCTGAAGGTGAGTGTGTGACGACATCTTGCTCATCGCTGTTTTAATAAGATGGACAGTGGGCGGCCTGATCGATTCGCTTTTTAATGTGCAGTATTTCTCCTGAAATCCGGCCTCATCGATGTGGAGCAGCTGCTTGCTTTTCGCCTTCCTGGCAGCTATTTCAGAATTTTAAACAAATTGTGTTTCTGACTCTGCACCGTTCAGCGCAAAAACCTCAAAACCTTTCACGTAACGTCCTCAAATTAGCCGCGGGTCTCCTTTTTCCTCCCGGAACCCGAGAAGAACAAAGACCGCCGTTTGATTTACCCCGTTCAAAGGATTTATTTCTCCCCTAAGGTGCAGTGCACGGTCTGTCAGAAGCTGCTGGCTAACTCGGGCTCTCTGAAGAACCACATGAAGCTCCACACGGGAGAGAAACCCCACGTCTGTCAGCACTGTGGGAGGAGCTTCAGTCAGAAAGGTAAACGTCAGAGCCTCTCAGACTGACTTCTGGGGGGCGTCAGTGGTCGGTTCTCCTCTCATTCGTTAGTGCTCCGAACACTTTGAACTGAGCTCTGAGCTAATCTGAGCTCTGAGCTAATCTGAGCTTTTTCACGACTGTCCGTCTCTCAGGGAACCTGGACTCCCATCTGAGGACTCACAGCGGGGAGAAGCCGTTTCCCTGCAGCGAGTGCGACCGCAGCTTCTCGCAGATGCCGGACCTCCGTCGGCACATGGTCTCGCACGGGGGCCGAGGCTTCCTCTGCAGCTACTGCGGGAAGTCGCTGAGCGACGTGCACACCCTGAAGTCCCACGAGAGGCTGCACACGGGAGAAAGACCCCATCGCTGCCACCTGTGTGGGAAAGGTTAGCACGCCGCGGCGCAATTTCAAAATCTCGCCAAAACGCGTTTTGGGTCAGAAATCACAGAATTTCACCCAGATGTCCATCTGGGTAAAGCGATGGAACTTTGGATGTTACATCACAGATGTGATTTGCAGCCTTCGCCTGCATCATTTAACCCCAAACAACACATTCAAGCAAATGTGTACTTTAAAAACATGTCATTTTTCTTACAGAACCTTTGAAAACTGAGAGAGTCAATTACGCAAAGCAGTGAACTCTGTCTCGTCTGATCCCGGGAAAGGAAACCGATGTGTTTATGATCGTCTCCCTACAGCGTCATTAGGAACGCATCACTGCGCCTCATTTCTTAACCTCGGTGACACGTTCTTTCATCACGTCACAGACAAATAACTCCGAATGTGGATTCATCCGCGACTGCAAATAGTCCTCACTGACTGCTCTATTTCGGGTTTATTTAGAATTACAGTTGCTGGCTGTTTTAGGAGATTACAGATCCTTTAAAAAAAGTTTTACTATACGTTTCTGTTTTTGAAGATTATGTCAATAGACTGATTCACATTGTTTGTTGAACACATGACAAAACCCCAACAAATAAAGCATAAATGCATTTAATTAAAGACACTTAAGTTAAAATGACATTTTAGGTCCATAGATATTTAAAAAGAATAACGTTTTCATGGTTTGTTGTTTAATTTTTCTCTCAGGCTACACGTTGGCCACCAGGCTGCGGAGACACGTTAAGTCGTCCCACCAGGTGGAGAAGCCGTACAGCTGCCACTGCGGCGCCTCGTACACTGTGAGACAAAGTCTGCAGCGGCACCAAGCTCAGCACCGGGCCGAGGGCGGCGCTCGGGACGAGGCGGCGGCGGGGAAAGACGACCGAGAGGAGCAGGAGGAGGAGGAGGAGGAGGAGGAGGCGGCGGCTCCGGCTTCCAGCTCCGGCCACCACAGGCCGATCAGAGGCCGACCCAAGAGGACCCCGCTCCCCCGGGGGGAAGGAGAGCGGGAGGAGGGGCGAGTGAGGCGGAGCGGGGGGCGAGGGAAGGAAACGAGGGCAGAGACGGGAGGAGACGAGGAGGTCCCGGGCAGCACCGGCCACGTCGTGTACGTCCACGCGGACGGCTTGGCCGCGGGGCATCGGCTGGTGGAGGTGGTGATATCGGACGACACGGAGCAGTGCATTGTGGTCCACGGGCAGCCGACCGTTGGAGAGCTGCTGGTCCTACAGGAGGACGGCGGCGGGCTCTGCTCTGTGGCGCAGACGGTTGAGATAAACTCAATAACATCTGGTGCCTTCTACGAGACAGATGTTGGATGAGGAAACGTCTGATTTTGCGGCTTCAAATTAAAAATCACTCGATTTAAAACAAAACTTTGGTGGCCTTTCATTGTGAAGCATTTCTACGACGGCAGAAGAAGAGTCAGCACCAAAAGTAGCTGGACGCTTATTGCGAAGGACCTACATTAAGTTGTGCTGAAGGGGAAAAGAGCCCGACGGGAAATCAAAAATATTTCTCGGCCTCATCCAATCGCACAGTCACATTAAAGTCGCATTAAAAAGAGAAACCTGGGAGACCGACCTCATCTGCGTGTCTTTATTCTTTGCATATCGCCTCCACAGAGCACAGCTCATTAGATGCGATGAGCCGCCGGTGGTAAGCGGTGGAAGGAGGTGAGAGACGTGGACTAAGTGGAGTCCTGCCCCCCCCCCACTTACAGGACAACCTGTTCAAAACACACACCCAGAGAAACAAAATAAAACCCGGGTGTAGCTGCTTCTGTACCCGAGCATCAGGGGTGTTGCTTTTGTTTCGTCTCAGGGCTCCTTGCGCACAGTCAACACTTTCAAAGTATTTTCCCAAAAGCAATCAAACACCTTCAGAGGAAACCGAACAAGTTTCATTTGCTCCCAATTGTGTCTGTGAAGTTCTTCTGAAAAGGATGTGATGCAGCCTGGTGAGTTTTGACGTGAATGAGCTTTTAATCGCTGCGTCGTTTGTCAGCAGCCGGTCGTGAGGTCACTTCAGAGGCGTTTGGGCCCCGGGGCTCTGGTTCGTTGGCTTGTTCTCATCACGATGCTCATAATTACGTGTTAATGAAAACTCAACTGCTGGGTTTGGCTCCTGGTTTTCTTTTGAAAGAAGAAAAAGGCTTTTAAAATGAAAATGACCCATGTTTCAACCGATGCTGATGTGAAGAGTTTGCATTAAAATGTAATACAAATTAAACATTTATTGCTATATTTAGTTTGAATTTAAATTAGTTACACAACACTGACATTTCCATTGTTGCTTTTTAAAGGTTATAGTTTATTATCATAGTAAATGAAGCAGCGTTATCATTCACATGGATCTAAATGAATCCTTTTAGCTCCGGTTTGGTCTCCACCAACGCCCCTTAATGTCCCAGTGGATAAATTCATCACAGCTGTTTAAAATCCTGTTGTATCCTCTTATCTTATAGTGTTTCATATAAAACCCTAAAGAATATTGATATCGGTCCGCGGTTCAAGGGGACCTTTGTTGCACGACAACGCGCCTCATTGTTTCTCGTCTCTCCATCGTTAGCTTCTACATCTGGGTTCAGAACAAAATCAATTTGTATTTCTTTGCTCCCATTAGTGGTGATCAGTCGATCAGGAATGAGAAACATTTATTATATTTATTGTCGGGGTGAGAGGGGTCGGCTACAATGTTTTTAGCCCGCTTCAGGGTCCTAGAAGCGAACAAGTCCCGTCTCCTCCGTCTCCCCTCTCATTCAAAGCGCATATTAAAGCGCATGTTGGAAAGTTTGGTGTTAGAAGGTTGCGGCGGGAGTCGTGAATGCAACTTTCACATCTCTATCAGACGCAAAAGCAGTCGCGATTCAGTGGCCTCCCAGTTGGTCCTCTTCCGGTATCGGCAGCGACCTGTCAATCACCTTGTAGCCCCGCCCTAAAGAATCCCCAGCTTTGTCCTCTAACGAACCATAATCTCATAAACCCATGAACTCATGTTTACAATGTTCACTGGGGGAATAAATCAAGAGAGAAGTAGATTCATTTTCTCATAGACGTCTATGGGACCAGAGGAGTCGCCCCCTGGTGGACAGCAGAGGAAATGCAGCTTAAGACATGGAGGATCCTCGGACGTCACCCCTCGCTTCACTCTCCAGGCCTCTAAGTGAATAAAGTATTTTTCATGTGTGTGTTTTTCTTCCCTTTGGGTTATGAGCTCCATTTTAAATAAATGCGTCAAACCGATTTTGGGCTTTGTGGAACCATCAGAAGTGTTTTGGCGGCGCGGCCACGGGCTCCCTGCCGTAATGCATCACCACGGTCTCTTCACTTGAAACCGTGGCCACTTGCTTTCTCACTTTGGAACAAAGGAATACCTCCACATTTTTACTTGGCTGCTTTCCATTATCTACATGGTAACGTTTTTTCTTATTTCTTTCTTTTTAATCCGTTTATTCAATCTGAATCATCTGCCATCACTTCCCTCCGACCTTTGCATATTTATTCTTTTCATTTATTTGCATTCATCACAACACACTTTCCCACAATTCACTCTGCATATATTATCAGGTCATTCTAGTACAATAATACCGTCGTACCATGCTGTTCCTTTCTACACTGAATACCAAAAAAGTTAGATGGGAGAAATAACTTAAATTATTCAGTTTTTCACTTTTAGGGTCAAACTACTGCAGAGACCAGAAGCTAAATTAGAAGACAATTTATCGTTCATGCTGCATAAAGGTTCAGTGCAGACTCAGACTGGTCTCAGCAGGTGGTCTCAGCCAAAGCACCTGTTGAGTGAAGCCACTTACTATGCTGATTGAAGGGAAACCTTTGAGGGAAAATGTTTCTCCAGCTTATCTCTTTGTATGCATGCACTGAATATAAGTGGAGATTTTTTGCCGTTTTGGAGCCTTCAGGTCAGTGTTTTTGGGCGGCAACATTTTCAATTTTTTTGTAAAAAAAGTAAGTAATATTTTCCCGTGCTCTATTGAGTGTTTGATTCAAAATGGACCATCATTTACTAAATGAACATCACGCTGTGTTGGAGAAGGCCTTACAAAAGAGATTGAGATCATAAACTCATGTTTACAATGTTTACTGAGGAAATAAATCAAGAGAGAAGTAGAGTCATTTCCTCATAGACGTCTATGGGAGCAGAGGAGTCGCCCCCTGCTGGTCACTACAGAGAAGTAGAGTCATTTCCTCATAGACGTCTATGGGAGCAGAGGAGTCGCCCCCTGCTGGTCACTACAGAGAAGTAGAGTCATTCTCTCATAGACGTCTATGGGAGCAGAGGAGTCGCCCCCTGCTGGTCACTACAGAGAAGTAGAGTCATTTCCTCATAGACGTCTATGGGAGCAGAGGAGTCGCCCCCTGCTGGTCACTACAGAGAAGTAGAGTCATTTCCTCATAGACGTCTATGGGAGCAGAGGAGTCGCCCCCTGCTGGTCACTACAGAGAAGTAGAGTCATTTCCTCATAGACGTCTATGGGAGCAGAGGAGTCGCCCCCTGCTGGTCACTACAGAGAAGTAGAGTCATTTCCTCATAGACGTCTATGGGAGCAGAGGAGTCGCCCCCTGCTGGTCACTACAGAGAAGTAGAGTCATTTCCTCATAGACGTCTATGGGAGCAGAGGAGTCGCCCCCTGCTGGTCACTACAGAGAAGTAGAGTCATTTCCTCATAGACGTCCATGGGAGCAGAGGAGTCGCCCCCTGCTGGTCACTACAGAGAAGTAGAGTCATTTCCTCATAGACGTCTATGGGAGCAGAGGAGTCGCCCCCTGCTGGTCACTACAGAGAAGTAGAGTCATTTCCTCATAGACGTCTATGGGAGCAGAGGAGTCGCCCCCTGCTGGTCACTACAGAGAAGTAGAGTCATTTCCTCATAGACGTCTATGGGAGCAGAGGAGTCGCCCCCTGCTGGTCACTACAGAGAAGTAGAGTCATTTCCTCATAGACGTCTATGGGAGCAGAGGAGTTGCCCCCTGCTGGTCAGCGGAGAGAATGCACCTTTAACACATGGAACTTTGGCCTCACTCTTTAGACACGCAGGTCCCCACTTGAGTCTTACAAGAATCAGTTCCTTCTGCGTTTGGGGAAATAGCATCCCAAAATGTCACTGAACGGATGCATCGCCAGAGCGGACGTTTGGCTAGTTAGCATGTTAGCTTGACCCAGCTCTTCGGCTAATTCTCCGTCCCCAGTGTAGCATTAAAGCCGGGTGCAAATTAGCAATCCACCATTTTTCCAGTAGCGAATCACGGCCTAATAATAAATGTTTATGTATTTATTTTTTAATTAATATATAATTTGTGGTCAAAACTATTTCAAATATAAATAAAATATTTACTGACTGAGTTACGCAGCTTTTTACATTCTAGTTATCATTAAATAAAAGTAGGAAAACATTAGCATAACGACTAGTAAGGAATGTGCTACAAGTCACTTGTATAATGTTCCATGTATCAGAGTGTTATTGATAAAGGTCTCTGTGGTTCTCTGTTGGTACGTTGTTGTTAGAAAATTAGACGGACGGTTTATTGGATAACTATTGGATATTGTTTAAATAAATAATTAAATAACACAAATGGCAGAAAGTTTACTTTGGGGCTTATTCGCAGAGACTTCCAAGCAGGCTGTTCGGCCCTCTGGGTCTGAGTGGGGAGATGAATTAGGGCGAGAGGGAGCGGGTGGATCAGTCTTTCTCTCTTCCCACAAAACCTGAGACTCATGGGCCCTTGAGCAAGGCCTTTTTCTCCTCCCGTGTAAATGCTCACACACTTTCTTCCAAATCCTTCACAGCTCACGTCGAGCCGCGCAGCCTTTTAAAGCAGAAAAATTATATTATCAACCCAAAAATGAAGGTTTTGTATTCTAACCCCAACTAGCCGCGTCCCGGCAGAGATACGGTGCAGTTTGTGCCGCCACAGAGCTGCCGGGTGCAGCACAGCCTCCGGCATCACCCACACACAAGCTAAAGTTAGCAAAGGTAGGATTCCTTGTCCAAACTAAATCCTTTCAAATAAATGCATCGGAGGGTGTTCATACCCAGCATCTCCTTTTTAGCCTCGTGGGAGACCGAGAATGTCTACTTCATTAATATTGAATACGTTATTTCTATTACTTTTTTTATTATTATTTTGAGGGATTAGTAGAGTTTTGGTGCGAGAATAGAACCACGAATAACTGGTATGTATTGGTAGTATGGTTTAAGAAAAAATCTTACTTTCGTCTAATGCATTTAATGCAAACACACTGACTTCAGCTAAACCAGCTTCTTCTTGTCTTAAAACCTGCACTCCCTGCAGTGACCACCAGGGGGAAATTACTGCTTCTCACTTGATTTATTCTCAATTTATTCTCGATCTAGTTTCAAATTCTGGAAATTACGGTCCGTTCAGCGTCAAACAGCCTGTAAAGCAGAGTGTACTTACTGTGATTGACAGGTCAAAGCCGTGTATACGTACATACACATGGTACCGTTGGCTGCCTACGCGCCTCGGCATCCCAAGATTACCTCCCCAGGCCCAATTCACGTGACAGGGGCTTTTGGTTGCCTGTGATTTTAAGAGGACTCCGTCCTCCGGAGCTGTTAACGGAGGTGTGAGAGCGTCACCGCGTGCGCACGTGTGTGTATGCACGTGTGTCCACGTACGCCGCCACGCTGCAGGCGCTCAACCGGGTCGTCTGCCGACACGCCGCCGCTCAAAGGCAGCCGGCTAAATCAAGACAATCACTGAGCTTCATGTTGAAAGAATAAATGTTTCTGAGTCCGTCTCATCTCAGGTTAATTGACTGATGGTCCCCGCTGTCCATTCTGTCTCTTCTAGCAGCTCTCTTTCATTGGCTCTCTAATCGAATCCTCTCCTCTCGTCCCCTCTTTTTGTTTCCTTCTCTCCTCCCTTTCTGTTTTTCTCTCTTGTCCTTTTTTCCTTTCCTCTTTCACACTCTGTCTTTTCATGTTTGACTGAGCGTTGATCTTCTCCTTCATAACCGGTTGCGCCTTCGACTCCGTCTCCTCCATCATTGTTTCCTCTCCTCTCTTTCTCAACCTCCCCTCAAGTATTTCATCTCCTTTCCTCTCCCCTACACTGGTTTCCTTACAGATCCTCCTCTTTCCTTGTGTGTCTCTCTTCTCGCGTCCAGTTTCCGTACTTTTCTTGTCCCTCACCCGTCCTTTCTCTCCCATCATGTCCTGATTCTTTTCTTACTTTCCTCCCTTTTTTCATCCCCAAGGACATTTTCTTCTTTTTCTTTTCCGTCCTCTCTTTCCTTGTTCCCTCTCCTCCTCTGTATCCTCGTATATCCTCCTCCTCCTCCCTCCTCCTCCCTCTGCCTTCTCAATCTACTCATGATTCATTCTCCCTTTTTCTCCATCTTCACCTCCCCTCTTTCTGATCTCCCCTCGCCGTCTCTATATTTACGCCTGCTTCTTTCTCTCCCTTTTCTCTCCTCTTCTTCATTTCTCATTTCATTAATTCACTTTTTTTCGGTCCCTTTCTCATTTTTTTTTCCATTTTCTTTTCCATCCTTCCTTCCTTCCCTCCTCTCCTCTTTCCTGCAGTGCCTTCCTCTCCTCTCTAATACCTTCATCCACCTCTCCCCCCTTCTCTTCCTCCCTCATCTTCCTCATTTTCCTGGCCTTTTTTTTTTACTATCTCAAATCCTCATCTGCTTCTCCATCAAGAATTTATTCCTCTCTCCTCTTCATGCATCTCCTACTCTTTCCCTTTCATCTCTTCTCTCTAACCCCCCTCCCTCCCTCCTCCTCCTCCTCCTCCTCCTCCTCCACCTCCTCCTCCTCCTCCTCCTCCTCTCTTATGACCTCCAGCAGCAGAGAGTCAGTGAACATCATCAGCAGCAGTGTCACTCGGCGCGGCAACGACTTGTGTGAAAGTGACGACGTCCTGCTCCTTTTCTTTTTGTTTTCTGTTCTCTTCCTCCTCCTCCTCTTCTTCCCATTCAGTCGCTTTCTTTTCGGCGGTTTCTTCTCTACTTTGCCACCCTTTCTTTCTGGCACGGTGATGCCTGTCGGCGTGCAGCACTATGAGGGAACCGTGCGTTTCAAATAGGGTTTCTGTCCTCGTGCCAACTTGTGCATGTAAATGCTTTTCTTTTGCGTCTCTCCGTTAATTCCCCGCATGTCATTGGGAATAAGGAGGCGGGTCTTATTCCTTTAGCAGGTCGGCATCTTGGCTCAGACGTGCTCTTAAAAGGACATTTGAACAGGTACGAGTTGTTTTTTTTACAGTAAGTAACTTAGATCGTGCAGAACCTGCTCGCGTTACAGCAGGCGGTGGATTTACATCCACGGTGAAGGAATACTGATCACGGCTCTGACGTCGAGAGGATTTTCAGAATCTGCGTGTACATTTTTGTTTATTTGAGGGATAAAATCTGATATTTTGAAGCGAAGGATGTTTGATATATTTTTTTCTTCATCCAAAGAGACTTTTCTTTTGGCAGATTCCTTCCCTGGCTTTGCTTTCCTTTTTCTCTCTCCCGTTCCTCTTTTCATTTTTGTACTTTCTGTTATTTTCTTACTGCCCGGCATGAAGACAACCCGTCTGCACTGATCTCACTGGAGTCCACACCAAAAAATGGGGACATCATAACGCCAGACATTTAAGCAGGATGGACTTATCGGATGTATTCACCGCAATGGCCACCACGCCGGCCACCTCACCACCAAACTCTTCTCTGGAGAGCGTCAACCAGACCTCCTCTTCCTCGGCCAGATCTCCTCCTCTGCCTCCTCACTCGCTGGCGGCGTCGGTGCTCATCGTGCTGGTGGTCATGGTCATCATCCTGGGCACCGTGGTGGGGAACGCGCTGGTCGTGGTGGCGGTTTTCACCAGCCGAGCCCTGAGGCCGCCGCAAAACCTCTTCCTGGTGTCTCTGGCTTCGGCGGACATACTGGTGGCCACGCTGGTCATCCCCTTCTCGCTGGCCAACGAGGTGAGGGAGCAGACGCTGGGTTCGATGACTCCATCATACAGCTGATTATTTACATGAATCTGTCGTCTTTAAATGATATCTGAGCGCACAACTTTGAGTTCAGCTGGCCCAAACCAGGAGACAGAGGGTCATTCTGCCGTGAACATTGCAAAGAAAAACACGATTTTAGAAAAAGTATTGGACAATTTAATTAAATCCATCCATCTCTCCAACGAAGCCCAACAGCATATCGTGAAAGATACAAAGGGACCCAAATTGTCTGCTGTTAGGATGACTTACGTTACGTTGACGAATGAAGGTACAGTTTAGCTTTAAATAAGTAAATAAACATCTGGATTAGGCAACAAAGCCTCTTGGTAAAGTTAAGGAAAACCATCTGGATTATCGGCCTAGGGCACCCAGACCCCGACCACTGGAACACCAGCCTTGTGGTCTTTGTCTCTGAACGTTACGTTGATGATGAGTCCAATAGATTGCATTTCATGACTATTCGACGGCTTGATATAATATTGAGCTGATTCATCAGTCAAGTGAAAAAACATAACCCTGCCGGAGGTGCCACAGGCAAAGTTGGACGCCACCAAAATCAGGAGGATTCAACCTCTAGTGTGCATGAATATCAGCGGGCTTCATTACGATGAACAAAAAGTGAAAAAGATGCAGAAGGGACGCAAGTGTTTGTTGTTAGTAAGTAAAAATTGTGCTTTTGGATTAAAGAAATAACCGATACCAAAGCGTGTGTGTTAAAGCTGCATTCTCTGCAGTGACCAGCAGGGGTCGACTCCTCTGGTGGAAGTCTATTAGAGAATAACTCTACTTCTCCCTCAGTAAACATTGCAAATATGAGTTTATGGTCTCAGTCTCTAGTTTCAAGTCTTCTTCAACACAGCGCGATGTTCATTTTGTGAATTATGGTTAGTTTAGAGTCAAATAGACCATAAATCAGGGAGGGGCTACACAGTGATTGACAGGTCTCTACCACTGCGTTGTCCAGCCTGGGACTCGTCCGTCTGACATCTTTATCCGTTTGTCAGTGTGTTCATCAGTTGATGATTAATAATTATTAATCCTAATTATTTTCCTGAATAATTAATGTCCGTCCGTCTGGTGGCTCGTCTGTGAGCAGGTCAGTGTCCGTCTGTCGGCCCACCTGCCGCATCTGGACGACATTGATCACCAGTAATCATTTAATACATTTTCTCCCTCTGCAGACTTTTTGTCTCACAAAAAACAGTTTGTTGAACAAACAAATACCTGGAACACGAGGACTGTACGTTTTTAAGTTACGCAACTTCCATTTACTGGTGCGTGGACAGACGGACTGAAGCACACGAGCATGTCAAGGTTACAAATCAATTATACGAATATTCTAGACAATGAAACTGTAATAACTGCAGCAACCACAGAAAGAAATGAGGGATGATAAATGTTTTATCTGTTTATATTTATATTCATAGAATATCTTATTATAAATCGTTAATTTAAGTAATGCATTTACTGAAATATCTACAACTACATCATAATCAAATAATTGAAATAAGAACTAAATTAATGTATTAAATAAAGGGAGAAAGGGGGGCAATGCCACTATGAGAATGTTAACATGAAAATGTTAGCATTGCAATTTCTATTAAATATATTCAGTTGATATGTATAAAGTCTTGAGCCGCGTCAAGTGACGTAGTTTAAAGAGCGGGGAGAAGGTCGGGGTCGACGGGGGGCAACCAGACTTTCACCAAGGAGACCGCTGCAAGGGTCCATAGCCGGTAGCGAGCATGTTGTGGGTTTCTTTCCCCTCATTAATTGTTTAATACATCATCCTTCACAGGTTCAAGCCAAGGCCACTTCCTCCAGTCTGCTTGTATGGACTCTCCAACCAAAACCAGACGGAGAAATCCTCCATATTCCCACGTTACAGCAAATCAAAGAGAGAAACAGTGTCTTCAGTACCGTCTGGCCTGCAGAACTCAATGCGTACATCTGGGTGGGGCGACGCGGCGCAGGGGTGGAGAGGGTGGCGGGTTTGAGCCCCGGCTGCTCCATGTCCCGTGTCCAAGTGTCCCTCAGCAAGACACCGAACCCTTAATTGCTGCCCGGGCAAAATGTGACAAGCCACGGGTATAAAAGTCGCTTTGGATAAAAGCGTCAGTTGAATGACGTGTTATGTAATATTTAAAATTCCAAATGAACGGATCTTCATAAAAAAAATCTTGTTTGTGTTACTGTGTGTGTTTTGATGAATGATGATGTTTATACATTTTATGTTAATCACCCAATGTTGTTAAACTCTTCATGACGCCTCAAGAACCATAAACTGCGAATCAAATCAGCCTCGCCCAAATGTTGCAGCGCAGCGGAGGAAGTCTGATATCTGCACATTCCACACCGCAGAGCACGATGTGCAGGAACGCGATGGGATTTTTATTTATGAAAAAGATGATTTTGGACACATCGTTTTTTGAGGGGTGCAGATTCGAAAGCACGGGGCGAACTCATCACGTCGCCGTCCACATGGGAGTCTTCTGCTTCTCTGCACTGGGGCCTTAATCTAACACGTTTGGTTTCTGCTCCTCGCAGGTCATGGGCTACTGGTTCTTCGGCTCGATCTGGTGCTCCTTCTACCTGGCCCTGGACGTCCTCTTCTGCACGTCCTCCATCGTCCACCTGTGCGCCATCAGCCTGGACCGCTACTGGTCCGTCACCAAGGCCGTCAGCTACAACCGCAAGCGGACGCCCAAGCGAATCAAGTCGATGATCAGCGTGGTGTGGCTCATATCCATCGTCATCTCCTCCCCGCCGCTCCTCATGACGCAGAAGGAGGAGGACCCGGGGACGGCGGAGAATGCCGGCGGCCGGAGGCAGGAGTGTCTCCTCAACAACCAGACGTGGTACATCCTCTCCTCCTGCCTTGTGTCCTTCTTCGCGCCATGCGTCATCATGATACTCGTGTACTGCAAGATCTACCGCGTGGCAAAGCAACGGGCCTCCACCGTGTTCGTGGCGAAGAACGTGGTGGAGCGCCAGCCATCGCAGTCCGAGACCTGCTTCGAGGGCAACGGCGGAACCTGCCAAAGGGAAGGGGCCGGCTTCGGTGGCGCGTCTCTGTACGAGCCGGAGACCCCGCGGCCCGCCAACCGACGCAGCTCCTCCAACGTGGAGAGCAGCAGCAGCCGGAGGGACGAGCTGGACGGCATCGACTTGGAGGAGCGCATCGGCGAGGCCGAGGCGAGAGCGTCCGCCTCGCTGTCCTCGGGGCTCCGCTTCACCAGGAGGGCCGGCGGGAGCCTGAGGACGACGGGGGAGGGGGAGAGGGCGCCCAACGGGTTGAGGCCTCCCTCCCACCTCCCACCCGCCTGCGCCACCATCTCGTGGGCGTCGTCCGAGAGCTGCTCGCACCACCTCCTCCTCCCGTCCCCGGTGGCGCTCCGCAGCCGGCGGACGACCCTGTCCAAGAACAAAGTGGCGCAGATGAGGGAGAAGCGCTTCACGTTTGTCCTGGCGGTGGTGATGGGGGGTTTTGTCCTCTGCTGGTTCCCGTTCTTCTTCACTTACAGCCTCCACGCGCTCTGCAGAGACAGCTGCACCATCCCCGGCAAGCTCTTCAACCTCTTCTTCTGGATCGGCTACTGCAACAGCTGCCTGAACCCCATCATATACACCATCTTCAACCGAGACTTCAGGAGGGCCTTCAAGAAGATTCTATTCCACACTCATAAGGGGACATAATGCCAGTGTGTGCGTGTGTGTGTGTGTCTATGGGAGAGGGAGTGTGTGTGCGTGAGTGGCATCGCACAGAAACCAACACAAATGTGTGCGCACGCGGTTTTAATCCTGTTTTCCACTGTGCTGTCATACCGACATTAAAGGGCTTGCCACACAGCCTGCGTGTCGATTCATTATTCAACTGCTCATTAATTTATTAAATAATCACTTTCTAAAGTAGCACAAATGAGCCAGAGGAAGATGAGGATGACACAAGGAGGCCTCGTCTTCGGGTGTCTCTCCGACTACGCTTCCCCCGATGCAATAAAAGCTCAAAGTTACAAGCGCGGCTTTTTGACGGAGTATGAATGTTAATTAGAGGAAAATGGCCGCAGGGCTGTGAACTTTGTCCCCGCGGAGCGCCGAGGAGTGAGCCGACCGACTCTGCAAACCTTTGTACTGACACAAGAGCCGATGCCTCAGGAACCCAGGGAGACAAAGCAGATGTGCGATAAAACAAAAACATGCAGTTTGTAAAGGGGTAGTGCGTCGGATTTAGTGGCATCTGGTGGTGAGGCTGCAGATCACACCTGAGATGTCAGACCTGTCGGTTGAGGCACAGGCGATTGGTCAGGGCAGCGGTGTCCAATTGATCCACAAGGCAGTGCCGGTAAAGTGCTCGTAGTGCTAATTAGCCACCCTTGCTTTCTAACGACCACATCTACACACGCTGACTTTAGCCAATCGGCCGTCGCTATAAGAAGTGAAATGTGAAGCGGCTTTTCGGACTGTAGCCAAGACGTAGAAAACAAACACATCAAGTCTGCAGTACCTCAGCAGACATGAACGCCTGGACCGATCCCAGCGCTCGAGGACTGCACAGGGCGTGTCAGAAATGTGGTAAGATTGATTAAATCGCCACCAAATGAATATAAGGTAACTTATATTTATATCCAATGCATCACTCTTTATGCTACTTGCTGTTCCATTAAAAGTGGAAGATGAAAAATCAATAGATCACTGCCAACAGTGCAAGTGGCTAACCCTTGGGCTAACATGCTAGCGGCTCTGAGCAGCGAACGGCAGCGATGGCCAACCCTCGGGACACGCTAACATGCTAGCGGCTCTGAGCAGCGAACGGCAGCGATGGCCAACCCTCGGGACACGCTAACATGCTAGCGACTCTGAGCAGCGAACGGCAGCGATGGCCAACCCTCGGGACACGCTAACATGCTAGCGACTCTGAGCAGCGAACGGCAGCGATGGCCAACCCTCGGGACACGCTAACATGCTAGCGGCTCTGAGCAGCGAACGGCAGCGATGGCCAACCCTCGGGACACGCTAACATGCTAGCGACTCTGAGCAGCGAACGGCAGCGATGGCTAACCCTCGGGACACGCTAACATGCTAGCGGCTCTGAGCAGCGAACGGCAGCGATGGCCAACCCTCGGGACACGCTAACATGCTAGCGACTCTGAGCAGCGAACGGCAGCGATGGCTAACCCTCGGGACACGCTAACATGCTAGCGGCTCTGAGCAGCGAACGGCAGCGATGGCCAACCCTCGGGACACGCTAACATGCTAGCGGCTTTGAGCAGCGAACGGCAGCGATGGCCAACTTCACCCAGAAAGAGACTTTGGCCGCTGCACCGATAGACGCTACTTCACTGTATCCTGACATTTGTTGTTTGCTGACATTACTGTCAAATACTCGCTCTTTTCATTTCTTTTTGCGCCTCAGAGTATTTAAACACCAGCAGCAACCCGCGCTTGGACTTAAACTGAAGCACACAGGCAGAACGGAAATCCCAATAAAGCGCTCTGTTGACACCGCGCGGCTCGGGGGCAAAGACATTACAAATTCAAGTGCGGCGCGCAGACGGCTGAGCCTCGCTGTGCGCGGAGGACAAGAGACAAGGAACAGAAAAGAGCCTCGGGCTCGTACAACAATAAATAATTATTCTCCGAAAGCTCAGGACAAAAAAGTGAACGGCTGCTTCACGTCTCTTCTCACAAAGAAAAAACCTGAGCCGGCACTTCAATGAGACGAAGAATAATCATTGTTTATACAACCGCTTATTTGCGGATTGGGGAAATAAAATGCTTTTAATTTTGCACTACTGTCTGTTTTTTTTTTTTTTTTATCTCGTATATCGAAGATTTGAGTGTCGGCGGCCACAGAAGAAGTGGCAAAGTCCACGGCCACGCGTGCCGCTGCGTCACTCCAGTTGCCAGGCAACACGGAGTCCGACAACAACTCTGGGGCTGCGCAATTAGCCATCTCACCTGAAGCACCATAGAGCCTAATGCTGGTCATCAAACATGATGAAGTGGGGCTGGCCTGAAAGTTAGTAAACTCCCCCGCACGCTGGCGTCTCACTGCAGCTTTTCAGCTTTTATATTGGACTCATTTCCAACACAGAAGAGAAAATAGTCAAGTGAAAAGCGGCACGTGAACTCCTGCTGCTTCTCTGCAGACGTTCTACTCATCCGCTAAACGGGTCCTCAAGATCTACAGCGTCTCTTTGTGGAGCTCCTTTTCATCACCTCCTCCTTTCCCTTTCCGAACCTGCCGTACAGGTGCAGGAACCCGCATGACCAGCGCGCACCTTGTTGAATCAGACTGGATAGTACTTATAAGCCTTGGAATGGGAAATCTCTCAATGGAAGCACATGAAATCGTTCCTGTCTCGTCGTCCCCGTGAGGCCTCCCCCATTTGATTACCATCGTTCATTGCAGGATTAATTCCGGCATCTGTTCTCTGGAATTAAAAAAGCAGCTCCAATTTGGCTAATTGGCATCAGCAGCTGTCGTAATGCTTCACAATGAATGGCTCGTTCATCCCTAAGCGGTCTCGGGACGTCCAACCACATCCACAGCTGCCAGTCAGCCGGCGGTTCAGACGTGGCCGGACTCGGAGGCTCAGCTTCCATCCAGGATCTCTTCCCGTGGGACGGTTTGGGGTCTCAAAGTCCTCATCTCTCAATCTCCACGCTTTCTATCCAGATGTCGATCAATGTATTCTGCCAAATGCCGTTAAGAGAAAAACATTAAAAACAAAGACAAAAATGCAGCTAAATTCATGGGAGTTAACGGATGAACTGCGCCGCCGACCAGCGTGGTGGAATTCTAGAACCGCCATACAAGCACGTTGTAATCGCCAGATAGTCATGAAGTCAATCCACACCTGGATTTGCTGATGGAGGGGAAAGGATTGCGCCGTGCCGGGACCGTAATGTCACGCAACAATGCACGAATGGACTTTTTAATTTCTAGGATGGAGGCATTTTGGTAATTAGTTTGAAACAAAAAAAAACAACAATAAACGGTTTCCTCGCTGAGACTTTATCATCCGCTCTTGTTGCCGCGCAGACGCCTTTGAGCCCAAAGTAAACGCAGCTCAGAGGAGCTTTGCCGTGCACGTTGTTAAGAAGCTCCGCGTGACGCTTCCTGACCTCTAAACTGCCTCAACCGAGCTCTCGTCATGCACGCACGCGTTTCTGGTTATTTTAAAATCAGGCACTTGCTCAGCTTGTGGGTCTTCAGAGGCTCACGGCGGCCACACTGCGTTCTCGCTTTGTTTTACATCTCAACTACGTGAACGTTGCCTTGAGTGTAAAAAGAAGTGTTTCACGTCGTCGGTGTGTTCAGATCTGACTGTGCTGAGAAGGGCCGAGAGCTTTGTAGTAACATCATTTCCTCTAGTTGGTATTAATGTGTAAATGATGAAGTGTACTTTGTCCGAATTTCAATCATTAACCAAAGACATCAAGAGCCTTTAGTGCTGATTTAATGACCTCTCTATGTACAAGTAGCCCCCCTTTTTATTAGTATATTGTCTGATAAAACATCAGAATCACTAGGAGTTGGCCTTCCGTGTGAGCAGGAACAACTTTTAGTCAAACCAAATGTTTGGGGGGAACGTTTTGAGAAGCGACACGTTGCGTCAGTCAACACTTGTTTGAGCTTTTCTGGTGATAATTAAGTGCACGAGGCCGACGTTTGATGCCCGAGCCTCGGTCTCGTTTCATCCTGCTGATGATGTTTCGACACTTTATTCTGAAAGTCAAACTGATCGGTGGCAGAAGAAGAGGAGCCGAAAGAGGAATACAAAGAACACAAAGTCTCCGACTCGACACCTTCGCTCAAATCATTATGGGAATGAAACATCTGAATGTAGCATGAATAATAGCTGCTTTGTTACATTTGTACATCCACACAATGTAATATCCACCAAATCTCCCACAGGCGCACCGGAATAACTATTCATATCTTACTTTGGTCCCATTAATACTGCAGAGTAGAAATACCTCAGTGAAAAGTCCTGCATCTAAATATATATATATATATATATATATAAGTATACCTGTGGGTGTAATACCGCTGATATCATAATACAAAATACACGTGAAATAACACACCATGCAGAGACGTCCATTTCAGAACAATGGGGGTTGGACTGAGGGGGACATTGTCTTTTCATAACGACAGTTTGTCTTATTTTCATCATAGCGTCAATTATATCTTGAATTATTGGTGACGAGCAGGCGGCACGTTGTCTGGCGTGTGAATGTGTGAATGTGTGAATGTGTGGGATTGCTGCATTATTGAAGTGCTTTGAGTTGTCAGATGACTAGTAGCTACTGTATATATATATATATGTGTGTGTGTGTGTGTGTTGTGTGTTGCATGGCGGTTTTTAGAGATGATGTGCAGCCTTTGTTTCAGCTTGGTGGAGCTTCAGCCTTCAGCTTCGTCACTCGCGCGACATAATTACATTTTTGTGTTAACACGTGTAACATTTTTGATAAAATGTAATGTTTTTTTTCCCACTTCATCCTTTAATTTAAACGCTCTTTCACAAAGCACGCCCAAGGTTCTTTTACTTTAATTGATGGACTTTCAGGAGGGAACTATTTCAGTGTAGCGTGTAATTGTATTGCCAGATCCATGCTGGGATTTTTCTGAGAACTTAACTTCCTGAGAGTGTTTAAAGGTAGTTTGTTTGAACTCAAAACAGCTGTGAAATAGTCCAAGCCGTAACAATGATCCTTTAATGTTCATCTTTGACCTCCGTCCGTTCCAGAGAAATCGGTTGAGCCTGAAGGAACGAACCGACAACCGAGAGAAACAAATCTGTCGATCCACAAGCCGGATTAATGCCGCTGACTTTTGAG